ATTCGCAAGATGTGCCAATGCCAAGATGGCATTATTGCTCAATATAAAGCAGCAACGACTGTACGCTAGGGCTATTTCCGATATCTTCAATCCGAACCATGCCGAAATGAGCAAATCTAGCGATTATTTTCAGTAAGCCCATTTCAACCGCTTGTACTAGCGATCAAACTTTTAAAGCCATGATTTTCGACTCAAAAAATCAGATTGGCATCGGGATGGAGATTGACCCGAAAGCAGAGAACAGAGTTTATTCTGAACTTATCCCTGCTATATTAATGACCGTTCCGGCTAGTTCACGAACAACGCCGCTCGCCACTTCAATTCGCTGATCGATCTATTCATTCCATTTTTTATTACCAGTAAACGCGACTTGCAGGTAAATAGTCTACTCCATATGTTCCACTGGTTTTCAGTTTATCTGAAGAGCACAACGGGTAGGAGAACAAAGAAGCGTTATGTTTTTCGCCTTGAACATGTTTGCACCCATGCTGGCTGCATCAGATTTGCCTATAAACTTTTCCAGGGTGCACTGGAGATCAGTTTTAGAAGTTGACAAGCCAACGAGATGGTTGACAAAGGCACCTGCTCATCTCCACATCATCAACATTGATGCACTCATTAACTTGGATATAGATCATAAGCAAGGAGAGATGGAGAATGTAGCGTTGGCGCGGACAATGGCGAACGTTGAAGGCCTCATCTTAACGTCATTTACACAAAAGCATCAGTAGCTATCAATATGCTGGATGGTTCATGGCAACTAGCCATCGATCCAATACGTTTGCATCTGAAAAATATGCAATTAAGTATTATGCTATATGATAAAATACGATAGTAACGTTATATACACAAGAATTGATAAATATAGCGCGTTATCAAATAATTCTGAAAATAACAACTCTCCCGGCTGAGTTTGCATATTGCTGTGTAACTTCAAGAAATATTACATAAGACAAGCAGGGAACATAGCCACTCGAAGAAGAACATACCTCTCAAGCTGGAAAGGATGGATGATTGCGGATGGGCGCGAGAGGCATGTGATAACGAAGCGCCCGTGAGAAAGACAGTAATGCCTCTAGCAAAGTCATGGAACAGAGCGAAAAGACCCCTGGGATTGTGGAGCACGTTGCCCGTGACGCTCAAGGCGTATCGGCATCATTAAAGAAAAATGTCAGCTGTACAGGTGTGTCAAGAAAACATTAATGATCTGCTCCTACAATAATTTCAACCATGACAAAGGACACGAACGCTGTGCGGATTGGATGAGCCTGAAAATTATTTATGATGAACCAGAAACCATTTAACCAGCAGTATGGACTAAAAGTTGCCTTCTGGCTTATACCTACTAACCGCTGCAGACAGCAAGAAAAATCTCTGTTATTCTGACAACCTCTTTTCATGAAGAAGGTTCGCTAGACATGAAATGTCGGTATCGGTCAATCATGCGACTGGCCATATTATTAGTTCACGATGTGTATTAATAAACAGCAATCGGTACTGTTTTTCAGTATGGACAACATCGCATGAACGAAATTCGCTGTCGTTCTATGTATTTTCTTTAAAATAAACATGGCCTGTAAAAGTAATCCCTCTTAGCTGATGGGACATAAATGAAGGTCCTTGAAAAGAAGGATGTCACGGTGCTAATCATGGAAATTTCAGAGGAAACCTACATCCCAGCAGCTACAAACCATGATTTTCTTTTCCCGTGACAAACGTTTAATTTGCAATCCTTTCCGTACGAATGATCATTACATATACGTTTTGTTGATGTAAAAAATTCTGAAGAATTGTATGACAGGTCATCGTACGATGATAAGGGTCAGCACCGAAGGCTGAACACGTTTCAAACCTATTTCGCTGGTTCTTCAGTTTTTGCGTTAAGGAAAAAACCGTTTCTTCGAGAACGATACCTCGAAAGCATTTATTAGCTGAAGGCGAGATCAATTAAGCTTGCGTGTCAGGTCATCCACAGTATTTCGTTCTTTATCTGAAAAGCGGATTTTGAGGTCAGTCGCTTTAAGCAAAGATACGCACTAGAGAGGAAGTACACTCACGTAATGAAAAGTGTTTGTGAGTTTTTCTGATAGCGCTTTGATAAGAAGGTTACATCTCGAGAAGTCCATTCAATGTGAACTTCTCATCGCCGACGTCAGAAAGGAGCGAGCGTGAAACTTCCTATTAATGAAACGCAACCTGGTGACTTTAATATCAAGTTGATGTGGTGAAAAATGCTAGTTTAGTGGTGTTAGAGTCTCATCTCCTACCTGTGTTTATAACATCATCGGGCAGGACGATGAAACTTCGAGTTGGGACTGTCCTGCAGTTACTCGTTGTTGCAACTCGAGCTGCTTTCGTTCAGTACACCGTAGTGGAAGAGGAGGTGTGGAATGGCTTGTTAGGAGAACCCGATGTGATCTGCAAAACCGACCAAATCCTGCTGCAGTTTCTCACCGTACGCCCATTCCATGGACGAATCTATGTTCGTGGTCATGCGGGCTCTATTCCATGCCAGAAGGACTTCTTCGACTCGAAGGAAAACACCAATCCGATGTTCGTCGTGCCACTCGACAAATGCAGTACCAAGCGAATGAGAACGGTTTGGTGCAAGAATTGGCTAACGCAGATCAGATCATTACACGGAAACGTTTCAGGCGAACTCTACGGGCCTCACGTTCAGCAACACAGTAGTGATCGGCTTCCATCCAGTCTTCGTCACGAAACCTGACAAAGTGTATAACGTGAGCTGCGTTTACCAGGAGTTTGAGCGAACTCTGAAGAACCAGATGGACGTCAGGTAATGACTACGTAGGGCAGACCTTCGATTTCATTAATATGTTGTAGTGGCTATGATAGACTGGATAGGCTGTTTCATGAGGATGTTTTCCTTGGAGTCTTCCGCTTGTTGGATTTCTTCCAGTGACTACTTCATTTCATCATTGTGAAGTGTGAAATGCTTAACGCCTAGTAACATCCTTCTTAATACAACCTCTTTAACCAGCTTAAGGACTTGCTGCAAATTAGTGACGCATTTTCTGCGTGTATCATTCTTGCGATTTACCTCTCTATCTCACAGCCAAGCATTGTAAAATTCGAATGTTTCAACTCACTTGAATTTAAACCAAAGCTTTGTAACGAGGTAGCATCGTCTCTTTCCTTGATTTCGTCAGTCAGTTGTAAATTTCAACCCGAAATGTTGCAGCGTTTCCTTCTGAATCTTCTGTCCGTTGAATTTCTTCCATTTCATTTTGCTTTGCAATTGATTTTATCATATTCCTGTCGTGCGGTGCTAAATGCTTTGCCCAATCCTCCCGGGCTTGTGTTAGTACAACGCCTATAACCAGGTCATAAACGCCTGCAAATCATCCGCTGTTTTCTCGGTCTTGTTCTAGCGACCCTCCTCATCTCACAGCAAGGCCTTGCACAATTTGAATATCAGATCCTTTAAATTCAAACCCAGTGTTACACTAACGTGGAGAATTGTCGCTTTCAGTGATTTCGTCAGTTAGCTGCGAAACTTTTCAGCCTGGCTTTGATATTTTGCCGACATTTTCTAGTGAAGTCTTTGCATTTTCTGCATTTTACTTTTCTTTTCTTTATTGGTAATTTAAGCTTTTCTAGAAACCATATTCGCGAAATATTGTTCCTAGAGTAAATGCAGACAATAGCGCAATGGTATCGTTGTGCAAACATGCGAAGAATGTTATTTTTTCCTAAATCGACTTGCACTAAAATCAAGAAGTGCCCGTCAGCTTCCACTACGTCGCAACGAAACCATTTTCACGTTCACATCACTCCACAGTTTCTGTCAGAACGGCTAGACGAAGAACTATCCTGTTTCCTTGCAGCATGCCATTTTATACCACATTAAGGCATACTCGTGAGATCAGATTCAGTTTTAGCTTCTTTGATCACAACGACGATTTGAATGAGCAATCTTAGTATTCTTTAGTCACCCATAAATAGCATCCAAAAGTTAGTGCTATTTAATCCTGAATTTAATTGAGACTCAACTTCTGGAATACTGTAAAACGAAGAAGAATGTTCGAGAAGAGTAAGAATCATATCCTTCGTTAACTGAAGAAAAGCATGTCACATCTGCATATATTTTGTCAGCTTTTACTAGACATACTTACAAAGAACGACAGTGACGAAATAAATGTTGCAGAGATGAGAGTAGGAGGCACACCTTCATTCAAGGATAAACCTCATCACTGCCTCACAAAACTGACTCCAATTTCTCCTGACTATGCACATAATTTGAATGTCAAGATGCGGAACCTTATTTTTTAACCTTGAAAATTAAACATGGTTTCCTTAGGTGGCAGATTAATTCCGTAGTCATAGTGAAACGTCATTCGACGTTTTGGTCAATACTTGGGTCGCTGCCAAGGTATTGGGATAAAACCAGATTTGGTAAAAGTTAAATCGTCAAGGCCAAAATCTGGATCATATGAGGCTGAGCACGGGTTAACGTTGACAGCTTTTTATTAAAGTTCGCTTATCCGCTTTATATGTGCTTTATTGACTAGGAGAAAGCTTATGACCTCATCCCGCGCAACAGGCTATTTGCGTGCTTGCAGATATGTGGGATCAATTGACAGTTGTTATGAGCCATCCAGTCAATATAAGTTGATAGCAGGTGCTGCGTCAGAGTAAACGGCCGTAATCCCGCTAAGGCTGAGACCTGTCCCCTCTACTGTCTGCGTTTTACACGGGTGGAAAGGTCGACGAAGTCACGGCG